TAGGCTATGGGGGTGTTTAAAATTGAATTCTGAGCAAATAAGAAAATTTTTACCTCTTTTGGTAGTGAAAGCGGCTCCGGCGCGACGGCGGATTACGACGACTCTCCTTCCCGGCAATTAGGTCTTCTTCTCCAGTGAGGGTGTCTAGCAGCTAGGGTTAGGGTTTGGTATGAAGATGGTTATTTATATCCGTTCCCTTTTAATCTGGGCCATCTATCGCGTTTGATGCGAACCGTTCGATTGCGTTTAAATCTGAACTTCCGATCGTGTTTGGGGAGGGAACACATCCAGGCCGTCCGTGCGTGCGAAAGTGAATCTGGGCTGTCCGTGCACGCGGGAGCAAATCTGGGCCATCCGATCGCAGGCACGCAGATCGCCCACATGACACCGTGTCAGTGTCCCTTGCCACACGGCGTGTTCCGATTCATTGGGACTACTGACTAGGCGTCCTATGTGGCACAGCTTTCTTAAATTATGTTTTGACCCCCTAGTTTCTGATTTTTTTAAAAAAATACCCCCAAAATCTAAATTTTCACCCCTTTTTCCCAAAATTATTTTCAATTTCATCCCCCTCCCATTTTTCTTCATTTTTACATTAAATTAAAATTCAAAAAATTAAAAAATTATATTTATAAATTAATTTAAATTACAATTAAATTAATTTGGGTATCACAATTGGCATATTCTTCTCTTGGTTTGGTTGGTTATTTTAATAAACCATCTGTGCTCACATCAGATGGACTAGTCTTTTAGCCATAACTATCACAAAAGCTATTGAAGAACTCTTTGCTCATTTTCATTTGTCCAAATATGGCTTTCACAAATAAGATAAGATCGACTGTAAAGAAGATCGAGGAAACACTCAAACCTCCACAACCTCATTTTGAGTAGCTCCTAATCACCTACTCTAACCTTTTAATTCATCATATGACTAAGTCCTTCAATACAGAGCACGAAGATATAAGGGGAGAGGCAGTTTCCTTGTTTGATACCACATGATGGATGGAAGATTTTTGTGTTATCCCTATTAATCTTGATTTTCATAGAGGGGGTCTTAATACATCTCATGGCACAATTCTTCTAGGTGTTGAGAAACCACGAACTTATTAAAGTATCTTCAATAAAATCCTAACTAAGCATATCATGTGGTTCTTCCATATCAACTTGATGGCCATAAACTCTTTCTTCACTTTTTTCCTCTCATCATATGGATAACCCTCTTAAATGACGATGATGTTAACAATAATTTGGTGTCTGAGCACAAAGCTAACATGTTTATACCAAATAACATTCCTAATAATGAATTTGAGTCAATATGCAAGGACCTTAGTGATGATCTTCTAAATGACATGACATAAACTAATAGATGAACATGGTAAAAGTATCAACAATTTTTTTCAGGAATAAGTGTAACAAGAGTATTATTCACCAAATTACTATTGATGAGACCCTCAAATGTCCCTAATAAAATTGTTTGCGCTAGTGCCAATGGTATCCCGATGCTTTTGATAGAAAAGGGCATGGATATTTTCAAGGTTAGGTGCTTTGAGGGGGCCCATGGAGTTAATTCCCCGATAGTTTTCCTCATCACTGATCAATCTATCTAGCATGTTTCGAAGACAAATTTGTGTTTCCATAATGGTACATGGACCATGCAAGGGCAATTGGGTGCAGATACTTTTGCCTTTTTTAGGGACAAGATTGTAGATTTTTACATTTCTTTTTCTTTTCGAGTAGAACCACCTAGGTTAGGGTTGTAATGAAAGACATCTGAAAGGTGGGGTTGTTGTTGTTGATGGTCATTGATGTTCATAGGAGTAAAAAGTAGTTTTTATATCTACATATAACAACACAAAAAAAAAAAAACTTTCTCCAATCTCATATAATTTTGATAGACCAAAAACTACTAAAAATTTTGTTTTGCTTATCCGAACACAATCATTTTAATGGGAAAAATCTAACTATTACTCCCATGTTACATAAAACAATTTGCTTAACATATACTTTGTATTATCCCAAAAACATTGAGCATTTTCATCTCATTTGTGGCACAAATCTCTATAAGAAAAATAAACTAAATAGATTAAATACTGAAATAAATAAAAATTAAAGAAAATATTAGAGATTCACGCTTTAAAAAATGGTTAAGAAAACTCTAAATAGCGGGTTTTATCAAAGTGCCTATTTTCACCTTAAATATTACCCTTTTAGTTCTCAATAATATAACTTTAATAGTTTGAGAAAAGAAAATTATTTATTAACTTTTAGTTACATTAATAAATCTTTAATTACATTTTAGAGTACATAAAAAATTATTTTTCTATTTCAGTTTTGAAATAAATGAAATTAATTATGATTATTTAGGAATATTAAACGTATTTATTAAACTAACTTATATTAATATGATAGCAGTTTCATTCTATCAAAATATTTACAAGTAATATAAATATAAGAAAATTTCCTATGTATTTTCACATCATACTAAAAAGATAAACATCAAAACAAAGCAAAAAATTTGAAGGAAACATGGCTTCTCCAAGAACTCTGTCATTTGTTTGCTTCCTTCTCATTTTATGCATGGGTTAGTAGCTTGATTATTTTATATACATAACTATTTAACTTGTTTTACTTTTGATTATTTTTTTTTATGAGCTTTAAAATTTTTTAAACTCCTGCTAAGGTCATATAGTTTTATATTTGTGAAATTGTCAATACACATATTTGGTCAAAACATTATATTTTCTTTCAAAATTAATTGTTTTTCTTTTCAAAACATTATAATTAACTGTTTTTTTCTTTAAATACTTGCTCCATATAAAAATATATTTTTATATTTATTATGTTTTTATTTTTTGAAGGAATACTAAATGGTGGACGTGCAAATGAAGTCGAATGTTTAACTCCTTTACAATCACCTTCATTTTCAACAAATGTAAAAGGTAATAAACAACTTGTGATTTGGACTCATTTTAAAAGTTCTATTGAATTAATTGCAAGTTAGATTGCCTATTTTAAAAGATTACAAACTACTACCTTTTGTATAAACTATTAAATATACATATAATATGCCTATAAGTTTAACATACATATATACACATATGTTGATCAACATAATCTTTTGTTTTAATTTTGAACCAAAAATACGGTGAGTCTAACTTTATTTTTTAGAATGTTTTAATTGTTTCGGAAATTTTTTTAATATAATTTAATTTATTTGTATAGTGATGTCTTTTGATATTTTTAAATACAGGAGAAATTACCAACGATAAAGCACGGTGTTGTAATGATAATCCTCAGTGGGGTAAATGTTTACCAGGAGTTAATGACACAGCTTGTAATCATTTTTGTTCATCATGCCCAAATCATAAAGGAGGTCATTGTAAACCTCAAACAAAACATTGTCATTGTTTTTGTTAGAGTATGTTTCGTACCACTCACTTTGTTATGAAATTATCAATAAACTTTAATTATTAATAATATACAATATACTATTTGTTATATATATGATTGATTTTATTTAACATAGATTCTTTCTTTAATTCTTGATCACACCTTGCGTTGTTTTATCTATATCATTCTCTTTATTCAAACCATATGTAAATATACGTTTAATTGTTGCGCTCCCTCTAAGCCACTCAATGAAAGCATTTGGAATCACTTGACAGAATCTCTCCTTAAATAAGTTAATGTTAGGGTTCAATCCCCGTTACATTTCAAATTCAAAGAACAAATAACTTTCTCTTTTTAATATTTTTGCCGAAAAATTATTATTTTCGATTTATAATTATTTCTGATCTTAAAATATATATTCGTAACCTCAAATGTAGAAGCTATTAAAAAAAATTTTTAGAGTTCGTGTAACCCTTAAACAGAATTTGCTTTAAAAATAAAATTTCGTTATAAAATAGTGATTGAATAGTAGTAGAATCTTATTAAATAAAAAAAATGATATTATTAAAGTACAAAAATAAAATCATCCAATACCAAAATCTATAGAAGTTAAATAATTCTGGCTAACTAAATGCAATAGAAATAAACAAAATACAAAGTTCTTGTGCTACTAATCCTACAAAATAAGTCTATATGTCCAAATGCTTGAAAATTTAAAGAATTTTTTATTGAGGTGATTTATGATTTTCACTCTTGTTCAGAGAAGTTTCTGTAACTTTGTCATCCTGTTATCAGTTTCCGAAGGAAAAAAGAAAAAAAAAAACAAGAAAAAATAAAAATGCCGTAAAGGGCATTTAGACATGAAGAAGATTTGCACAAACTGCTCTTTGTATCTTATTGTTCACTAATTACAAGATGACAACTACACTCATATTAATATAACTCTATCTGGTATCAGCATTAGGGCCCAAATAAAAATAGAAACTGTACAAGTCGACATACATATATGGTGGAGATATGTGGTTAATTAATTATGCCTGAGCAATCCCCTTTTTAACCAGCATGTCATAAATTCTATCCACTTTGCTTGGTTCTACCTTGAACAAGTTATATGCGTCTGATTTCTTGGTGATATTTCCCTTCATAATCTCCATTGATATGGTCTGCAACATGTTTAGATAGTGCGAGGGAAGTACCCTGATTTCACAGCAGAGCCTCTTTTCCTGCATGATAATCCATTACAATATACTTAGAAAGTCCGGGTTGCAACATTAGTTGAAACTGGACTTTTCCCAGAAAATTTGTTAAACAGGTGAAGACAGGGAGAAACAGGAAACAGCATTCTTACAGTATCAGACAGTAAATCAGCCCCAAGGAAGGCATTGATATCCCAATCATCCAAGGAGATTGAGATAGCTTGTCCTGTGGTAGTGGAAGACGAGTCCTTCCCAAAAGGCTGTAAACCCTTTGCCGCTCCCCGAGGACTGCCATCAACTTCACCCTTGAGATTATTTGTCCTTTGTAAGACTTTACCACTTTGACTAATCTGGATGCCTTCTTTTAACCTATGGGCACTTTCTTCGTCATCCTTCTTCCTCTTCTCCTCAATAAATCTATTTGCCTCAGCAACTGTTCTACAACCAGCGGCTCGAGCTTCCTTCATAGTTATTGTTTGTAAGTGAAGAAAGAATATTAGCCAAAGAGATAGGTACCAACAAACTATCTCCACAAGTATCCTTAAATAGTATCAATTAATAAATACAAAATGATGAGTTGATTAAAAGGAGATGGGAATAGCCAAGAGCCGCAGGTCTAAGTCCTGCCTAGCTGTCTAGGAAAACCATATTCAACCTAAACAGCTTGTAAACTTTTATTGATTCTAGCATTTTTCATTACTTGGAGCTGTATCATATGTTAGTGATCAAACCATACACCAAATCATGGAATTCAGGGATAAGACGTGCATCAGCAACAAACCTGAAGAACCTGGATTTTTTTGACAATTCGATGTTCCTCAATAACACTCTTAAGCAGTTCCTCATGCTCTTCTTTCGAATGAAACCGCATGAAAACCTTGTAGCGCTGATATATTTGCTTCTCTTCAGGTGAGAGATTCTTCTCAAAAGGGTCAGGATAAAGTAAATTCCTTTCCAGTATGAAATCTTTCCTGCGTTTTCTCTCATCAAGCCTGTCGACGAATTCAGATATAAAACAATGATCATGTACATGCAGAATGAATAAATTGAATGAGAGAAAATTTTAAGAAAAAACTGATACAATGACAATGAAACGTTAGATCCACATAGTTGTGATCAGTTTAGATGATTGGTAGTGATATAATTTGAACTAAGAACTCTTCTTAGAAAATCATTATACTGTGACTACAAACCGGGTAATGACTTCGCTATTATTATTACATCTTACATAAAGTGTGGCAAATTTTGAAGTCATAACCAAACTGATATTTCCCGAGAATTTAGCAAGATAAAAAAGCAAATGAAACTGAAATCAACACTTAGCAACTCAATATCCTATAATGATTTAGAAATGAGAATTGAGCAAGTGCAGAGGATAGTAGGACATATATGCCTACTTTTCTCTTGGAGTGTCCCATATGCTTTTACCTAAATTCTGAGCAATATTGACATAAACAAAAAATTAATATAGGTAAGACTGGATTACTTGAGAGAGAAAACTGGGCAGTAAGAAAACATAAGACGAAGCTTCACTCTGTGAAGCTTAACTAAAGAGTTTATGAGATAAAAATACTGAAATTTGACTAGTTCCCAAAACTTGAATGACTCAATGTTAGTTTTCTCCAAATATATAGTGTAGAAATCCTAAATGAAGCAGTACTAATTCTTGAAAGAATTCTAAAAAGTATTTCTACCCAATCTTGTGCTTTGGGAGAATCATAAAACAATGTAAGTATGGAATCTCTCAATGGGCCATTGGAAAGAGCTAAATGAACGGCTGCTGTTGAGGGGTGTCTCTATTGGCAGGGGAGAGAACAGCACGGTGATGACTCATTTGTTCTTTGCGGATGATACCTTAATATTTTGAAAAACTAGATTTGAAGAATCTCTTACAGTTAAGATGTATTTTATTATGTTTTCAAGCGGTTTCGGGACTCAAAATAAACCTTAACAAATCTGTATTGGTCAGAATAGGAGGAAACGGTGATGCTGGACCTTTTGCTAGAATTTTGAGCTGCAAAGAAGTAAAATTTTCTTTTTAAGTTCTTGGGGTTCCGTTGGATGCTAAATATAAGGATCAAACTACATGGGAACCGATCATTGATATGTTTAAACAAAAGCTTGCAAGTTGAAAAAGAAGTTTTCTGCCAAAAGGAAGATATACCTTAATTAAGAGCACATTCGCCAATTTACCAATTCATTATTTATCTACAATCACTATTCCGATGAAGGTGACAAAACTATTAGAAAGTATTCAATGCAAGTTTTTGTGGGGTGATGGTATAGATGAACGTAAATATCATTTAGTCAATTGGGAAAGACATCAAAAGTACCCCTTAATTATGGGGGATTGGGGATTCGTTCCTTGGTTAAATTGAATGAAGGCGTGCAAAGAAAATGGTTTGTGGAGGTATTGGGAAAAAGAAAATAGACTTTAGAGATGGATTATTGAAACAAGATGGGGTGATCATATGTAACAGCAGCAGTGATGACCAAAATAACAACTCCTCACGGGCATGGTCCGTGAGGAAAATTCTGATGCTGTGGAAACCTTTCAGCATTATATAAGTGAAAGCTAGAATATGTACCAAATTAATTTTGGGAGGATGATTGAGTTGATGATGGCTGTTTAAGGAGGAGGTTTCCCAGAATTTACAATATGTCCAACTGAATAAGATGACAGTTGAGGAGGCATATCAGGTTGTAAATGGGAGTACTGTATGGCGTGTTAATGTAAAGTGGAATTCGAATGATTGGGAGATTGAAGAGTTTGAAAATTTTCTGCAGCTCCTTGATTCACAGCAGGTGTCAACCAAGGCAGATCAGGTTGTATGGAAACTGCAAAGAATGAAAAATTTTTTGTTACTTCACATTATAAATATTTAAGTGTTAAGGGTGCTACTGACAGAAGGGTGTTTCCGGCAAAGCTCATTTGGAAGACAAAAATCCCTCCCCGAATAACTTTCTTTGCATGGGAGGCGTGCTGAGAAAGAATTCTTACTCTGGACAGACAGAAAAACAAGGGCAGAATCATTGTTAACAGATACTACTGCTGTCTAAAGGCAGAAGAAACATGTAACCATTTACTGTTGTGGTGTCCTACAGCTTATAGCTTATGGTATGTGATTTATGGTTTATTAGGGATCAATTGGGTTATCTTGGGTTCAGTTGGGAAGAGATTTGGGCTTAGGATGGTTTCTATGTAAAAGGAAATATTATTAACATTATTCCTTTAACTATTTTTAGGGTCATTTTGAAAGAGCGGAATAGAAGAGCTTTTGATAGTGTTGAGAGTGGTACTAATAGATTAAAAGATAGGTGGATCCATATGTTTGGGTCAATTATGCTAAATTATGATATCAATAGTGATATGGATTTTGAAGATGTTATTAACACTTTAACTTCATTGTAAATGACTTTGTACATGGGCGATACTCCCGTTCTTTTAGTACCATGTTAATACATATTTTATACTTTTTATTTCAAAAAAAAAATAAAACAGTTTAAATACCCAAGAAAAGTAATTTACTAATCAACATACCAAAGACAACTTAAATCGGAAAAACCTAAACTAAAAAATCTTGTCGAACCTAGAAGTTTGAGCTTGTAACCTGACTAAGGGCAGTAAGACAATCGAATAATTTGCATTTTTCATGTAAAGAAGTAAAACTCCTAAATTTTTTAGAAACTCCTAGTTTGTCCGGCATCAGTTCTCCAGTAGCTGAGAAAACCTTATCTTCAAATTCCACTATGTTCCTAGATAAATTTGATTACCAAATATAATCCACTCTGTTTCTTTATTCATATGATTTTTTATCAATTTGTCCCCGTGTCAAAAAAAAAAAGAAAAAAAACACATTAACTTCAACGATTCTTTCTCTAAACCATGGATTATTAGCATCCTTGCATGAACTTTCTGTCCCACTTCTTTTACTATGAAATATTATCATATTTGATCAAATTATGTATTTATTGCAAGGTAAATGGACTTGACATGTTTAGGAATCTCATCAAATTCTTGACGAAGATCCTTCTCTTAAACACCTAGATGGTTGTTGATCCAACAGGATCTATGCTTAAATTGCTTAAATAGATCAGAAACCATAATTCTATTAAGTATAAGCTATTACACTATTTAGCAACCTACTATTATAATTCTGACTTTAGAATTTATTATTTTTAGTATTTAGTTTTTCATTTGTATTAGTACTATTATTTTCTAATCCTATTAGCATTTGTAATCTAATTCAATTCAGGAAAGGTTATGTAGGAATCATTATAATATATTGTAGAGTCACTTTTAAGAGAGTTTAGTTATTCAATAAAATATTTTGAGAGTTTCTTAAATTTTTGATTGCATGATGCAATCAAATCTTTAAATGTAATGTTTAAAAACTTTTACAAGTGATATCTAAGAACTCCTATTATTTCAAAAAAAAAATCTAAGAATTCGTAAGTGTGATCTCTTCAACAAGTTTAATAATATCCATAACAACCCTATTCTTCTGATGGGGAGAAGGATTTTGAAGTCTTTAAATACTAAGTGCGTTCTCTTCAACGAGTTTAATAATATTCATAACAGCCCTATTGTTCGGATGGAGAGAAAGATTTTAAAATCTTTTTTACTAGGTAATCTAATATTTTATGCATGAAGATATTTATCTCTAAATTCCTACGTAGTCAAATTAACCTCGATTTTTCCTAAATCAGTTCTCTTCACAACCAAGTAGTACAAAATCAGTCTCATCCTCAAGGGGGCTCATCATATATTCATGACAAATTCCAATTTATACATACAAGAATAAGGTATTTCTTTATTAATAGCAATATTCTATGGGTTTGTGTTAATCCAGGGATTTTTGCTTGCTCGGCTTCCATGATCGAACCTGATTGTTTCTTGCTCCAATACCATTTAATACAATACAAGAATAAGTTATTTGTAAGAAATAAAATAAAGTAGGCAAAAGAATAAACCAATGGCTTGATTCTTCTGGTATGCCAACACAGATTTTGAGAGAAACTCTCCACTAAAAAATTACTTGCTCTAAAAAGCTGAATAATAAAAATAAATTTTGTCCTAATACAGACTATAGAGTACTGAATCCTAAAATTTTTAGATAACTCCTATTTTGTCCTGCATCAAAAGATCTCTGACATGTGACCAAGTTCAACTGCTCTTTGTTCCACTCTAGGCACCAAGGGATTTTCAACGAAATAGGAAGAGTGGAAATGTCCAACAAGAAAGAGCAGTAGTTTCAATACAAATTGACAGCAAACTAGTTCATGAGTTTTAGAAACCAGTTTAAGCATTACCAACAGATCAAAGAACAAATTCATCATTTCCTCAAGGTAGGCGTGCTGTTTGGACATAATGGAAATACCTTTTAATCCTCATTAACTATATTTGTCAAGAAGCATAATTGTCCAAAAATATTTAAATATTCATTCGACCACCAGAATACCTTTTCGAGTATATTCGTAATACCCGCAGTTTCAACTCACGCTCTGCATCAGTGTCACTGTTCTTGAATTCCATGTCCGCCAATAATTGCTCTGCATCATTTTCGTACTCAATCTCAAATTCTTGCCTCTTAAAATTGTAGCCAAATTCTGTCACAGAAGGCCCTTCATCACAACCAACTCTAGGTTTTTTCTCTCCAATGCTCCTGTCAGTCTGTGGTTCTGCCAATAAAGTAAAAGGAAAGCAATTACATATACCATAAAACACAAAGGAAACGATCTCTTAATTAATTTACCTATATTGCTTCACAATTGATAATATTTTCATATATTAATCACCAAAAAAGGATAATTTTCAGTCAACCCAACTCAATGCATATTCATTGAAGCTAGAGAGTTAAATCAGGTACCGGACTCTTAAAGGTCAAGGGTTAACATTGTCAGTAACTACAAGTTGTGAGTCCCATTCAATGTTCCATCCCGAGAAGGTTCAGACCTGAGTACTTATAAATCTCAACCCATAAAATAAGTTTAACCTCGACTTCCTTAATAACAATAAAGGAAAAAATAAACACATAAAATCAACAGTTAAAATTCTGCTACAGGGCAGTAAAGAGGTAGGCAACCAATATTACAACTACAGGATGATAATGCTATTATCTTTAATCTCCTCTCCTTTTTAGTCCAAGCCATTTATCCTGTATTACAATCGAAATTTACTTCCAAAAATGGATGAGACCATAATCAAGTGTCAGTGTCTGCCAAAGCAGGATCTAATTCCAATTTTCTGCATCACTGAAGTGGCTGTTTGAAATACCAAATTCAGACCATAGATCTTCTTGGCATGAATATATCATTCCTGGTCCATATATTTTAAGCAACTTAAAAAACATTATTATGTCCAACATTTCTGCATCTTGCCTTTAAACATGAGTTTTGAATGCCTATGGCAGGTCAAATAACAAAGGCAATGGTTTGTTCTGTCCATGTAGTTAAGCAATTTCAAACCATGATCAGAAGCAGACACATGCCTAGATTTAAGAGCCCAAACCTAAATGAAGGCAAAAAACAGAGGGCTCTAAGTGAAGGTTCACAGTCAAATACGACGCAAGAAATGATCATGACAAATGACAATGAAGAGAGTAAACCTTCCACTTTAATGGAATTCTAATTTGGACTGTCTTAGAGGTGTCCCTAACCGCATAAGAATTGTGTTATAGCCACTTGATACTTGTTAAAATATTATAAAATATTCTTAATACATAATAATATGATTATCTTTCCAAATATGTAAACGTAACTAGGAAGAAAATTATTAGAGTAATTTATGTTGATTACCACATATGAATCCATTTACATACATATATATTTCTACTTTTATTTCAATAATAGACAAGTAAATATTTAATAATACTTTCTTCTCTAATTCTTACATGGTATCAGAACTAGAGTTTTAGGAGTCAAAATTACATCAGACCAAAAGAATAGTTGAACAACTTATTCTCGATGCCGGAGAAAGACAACCACTGATCTCCAGCCAGTTCAGAATGCTGGCAGTACGGTGTTGCACATAGGAGGAGCCAAGGAGATGGTTTGCATGGCAAATTGAGGCTATGGGCGTTGGGTTTGCCAAAGGAGGGCATTCCCGTGCGTTTTGGTTTCCCGTTCGGGGAAAGAAGCCACAGAAGACTTCGGTTGGGCGATTCTGTGCACGAAACCAGAAGGCCGAAATAGGGAAAATGCAGCGGAGCAGATCGCGCGACAACAAGCAATTCTCCATACTCCAGCGTGATTGGGGGTGTTTCTGTGAACGTCATTCCAGATTAAGGTAACCATTGAAGTTCTATGGTGATTTCCGGCCGAAAAAAGGCTGTTTAGTCGCATGTGCGGTAGTGCAGAAGCTCTGATGGTTCTGGGAGGGTTGTTGATAACCGTGCGTGAAGAGATACTTCATTTTCTCAAATTTTCTAATATATTTGGGTATTTTTGAGTAACAATTTGTAAATATTCTTGAGTTAAGAATGAGTGATAACAAATTTTCGGTGAGCGAAATAGTCCCGGCCATGTCAAAGATCAATGAGTATAAATTTAATTGCACAAATTATTTAGAGTAAAGTAAAACTATTAGGGTTTATCTATGCAGTATTGATAAGGATAATCACTTGACTCAAGACCCTCCCACTGATAGAACTAGACAAATCTGGCAAAAAAATAATACACGTTTCTGCATATTAGAAATTCGATTCATAGTGAGATAATTGGCTTAATTAATCATTGTGAATTTGTTAAAGAACTGATAGATTATTTAGAGTTTATATATTCAGGCAAAGAAAATGTGTCCCCAAATGTATAATGTTTGTAAGGGTTTCTATCGTGCTGAAGATGAGGTCAAATCTCTCACGGCCTACTTTATGGAATTTAAAAAGACATATGAGAAGCTTAATGTACTTTTATCATTCAGTGCTAACATTAAGGTAGAGCAAACACAAAGAAAGCAGATGGTCATAATGAGTTTCTTAGTCGGTCTTCCATCTGAATTTGATACTACTAAATCTCAAATTCTATCCAATTTCAAGATCTCTTCTCTTCAGGAAGTTTTCAGTAGAGTGTTACACACAAAGACTACTACATCTACTCGGTATGTTCTTATTGTCGGGGAAAGAGAAAGAAATAATAACGAGAGAGAAAATAGAGCAATGGATACTCAGAATAATTATTCAAGCAATATTGTTTGTTATTACTGTCATGAGCAAGGACATATGAAACGGCAATGCAAGAAATTATAGAATCAGAATCAGAGAACACAAACTGTTAATATTACTATTGTTGCTACTGCTAACTCCTCTTCTGAGAAAATTATTATGCTTTCAGCGGATGAGTATGCAAAATTCTCTTAGTTTCAAGAATTTTTGAAAAAATGCACATCAGTCATTACTTCTGCTGAATCAGGTCAAAGATGTCTTATCTCTTCATCAAATAAATTGGTGATTAATTCTGGTGTTACAGATCACATTACAAGTAATCCTAATATCTTCTTTAATTTTCGATCACAAAAAGCATTCTCTCCTGTAACTATTACTGATGGGTCAACCTATAATATTGAGGGTTCTAGGACTATAAACCAACTTTCACTATTCCCCTGACATCTATTTTAAGTCTAACTAAACTTCCTTTCAATTTGATTTCTGTAAGTACATTTACCAAATATCTTAATTATTCTACCTCATTCTTCCCCAATCATTGTCTTTTTAATGATCTTATGACGAAGCAGATTATTAGTAAATAACATATATAAGAAGTTCTCTACATTCTTAATAGTTGGGTGCCTCGATCAATTGTCTGCTCTAGTATTCTCTCTCCATTTGAAGCACATTGTTAATTGGGACATCCATCCCTTACTATATTGAAGAAATTGTGTCCTCAGTTTCATGATGTATCTTCATTAGATTGTGAGTCATGTCAGTTTGCAAAATATCATCGTACCTCGTCAAGTACAAGAATTAATAAACGAATTGAGTCTGACTTTGAATTAATTCATTATGATATTTGGGATTCATGTCCTATTATATCTCAAACAAAGTTTAAGTATTTTATTATTTTTGTTGATGATTTTTCTCGAATGATTAAGATATACTTTATGAAAAATCATTCTGAAGTGATTGCTCATTTTTGTGTTTTTCATACGAAAATCAAAACTCAATTTGATGTTTCTGTGCATATACTAAAAAGTAATAATGCTAAAAAATATGTCAGATTCATTTTAGAATTATATAACCCAACATGGAATTCTTTATCAATTTTCTTGTATTGATACACCATCTCAAAACGAAATTATTGAGAGAAAGAACAGACATTTACTTGAGATTGCTCGAGTTTTCTTGTTTCAGACACAAGTTTCTAAGCAATTCTGAACTGACGTTGTATCCACTGCTTGTTTCCTGATTAATCGTCTACCATCTGCAATATTCGAAGGTGATATTCCTTATAGTATTCTTTTTCTAAACAAGTCATTGTTTTCAGTACAAACACAAGTATTCGACAGTACTTGTTATGTTCGAGATGTATGATCCAGTATTACCAAATTGGATCTCAAACCTTTGAAATGTGTCTTTTTGAGATATTTCCGTCTGCAAAAGGGATATCAGTGTTACTCTTCAAATCTCAATAAATATCTAGTAACAACCAATGTA